ACCAAAAGGTATGCATATAAATTCAAATAAAGAGTAAATCTATATATTTAATAATATAAAAGTTACCTCTTCTGCCAAAAAGACGCAAAACCTAAGTCCTTTTCCTTTGTTTTTCCTTCAAATAAGCAGACTCAATTATGATAAGTCAATGTCGAGTCAATAGAAGTGGCATAAGATTATTTTATTTATTTAGACGAGAGAGGTAACTTTTTTATATATCAATATCCTCCTAGAAAAGTAACATCTTAATTAATATTAATAAACTTACTCTTTATCTATTTATTAATAAATTTATTAAACGTAATTATTCTTCTAATATAGAAATGTTTTGAAAATAGAGCAATTCGTAAATAAATCTTTAATTAAAAAGGCATATATTGAATCAAAATATGCCTTTTTAATTAAAAATATAGAAATGTATCATCGAATTTTAAAGATACAGTTTACTGCAAACTGATTTTATATATTTTTATTTAAAAACGTTCATTTAATACTTAAAATATTCATATAGCGCGAAAAACAATTTAAATTTAATATAAGTAGGGAAGAAAATCTTTTTATATATTTTCAGATTTAAAAATAAATATAAATATAAAAATAGAAATAATACTATTTATGTAAGTAATTTAACTAACTTTGTACACAAAAATACGAATTGAATAGCGCATCAATTCTGTGAGTAAAATTAGAAAGTAAATAACTAATAGAGGAAAATCTTTTAAAATTCCAGACGACATCTTTAATTAATTACTAATTAGCTCGTCTGCCACTTAATTATGTGCCAATTTGTGATCATTCCCCAGAAGTTATCAACATAACAATGGAATAAATAAGCCCATTCCATTGATTTCCATCTCATTTTGCTAAGCAGAAGCCTAACCAAACATCATTAGGTATCGTCTGAATTATTAATAGGATAATGATTTAGGCTTAAAAAGACTGAGTTATTTTAGCTTCGCTTTAAAAGAATATCCTTGAATTCAAGGTCGTCTTTTGTTTTAAACTATAATTATTCTTTGTGATAACATTCGACGTATTTTGTTGTTCCTAACTTCTTCCTTATCTGTCATTGAAACATTCCTAATATTGAATCAGTGACAAAGATTGTAGAGAATTTTTAAAAAACGTTTAAAATTAAATGATAAGCTAACCATTTCTAGTTATTAGTATAGCCATTTCTATATAAATCTTTAATTAAAAAGGTATATATTGGATCAAAATATCAGCCAACTGAAAATATATATTGGTAAAATAAATGATATTTTGATCTAATATATGCCTTTTTAATTAAAGATTCATTTATGGATTGCTCTATTTTCAAAAAAGATTAATATTTATTTATATATATTTTTTCAATCAAAGTGGTTTCAGGCACATATTTATATTTGAATAATTTATATAACTATCATGATTCTTTTCAATTTTGATGCATTCAATAACTAAAATTTCGTTCTTTTTGATATTACTTATAGGATAATTATATATATAACCAGTTTCATATAAAGGTCTAAACACAAATCACAGAAAAGCTTTACAAGAGCATTATAATTTATATTTTTATTCAACAATGTAGATCTTATTGGCAGTGTCTACTATGTATAATGTAACTGTCTTCTACGTTAGTCTACATACTCCTCGATCATTTGTCTTCAATACAGCCCCTTGTGTAGTTGGAATTGAATTGTGTCAAAGCTGAACGATTTTAGACAGTGACAAATTGTTTTGAGTAGGTAGGTCCTGTGTTTTGTAACTAAGGTGGTTGAAATTTTTATTTGGAAGCACAGAGTCACAGAGAATATGATTGGACGAGACTACATAACATTCCTGACAAGCATAAATAGAAATTAAGAAAAAGGCACCTCCTTATCGTGCAACTGAAAGTTGCTGATGGCTTGCACCATATATCGGAATAAATATCAACTAATCATTGATTTTTAATTATTCCAGAATTAGCCAAATATCCATTCTTTATTAATCAAGAATTAAAAATCAATGATTAGTTTATATTTATTCTGATAGATGACGCAAGCCATCATCAACTTTCAGTTGTACGATAAGTAGATGCCTTTTTCTTAATTTATGAACCTTATCCCAGTACAATGTCAAATTTGTACTTTTTTTTTTCATATATAGAAATTTTTAAATAAAAAGGCATATATTGGATCAAATGAATTTATTTAACCTATATTTCAGTTGGCTGAACGCCAACCTTTATCAAGGTATTATAACATTTTAAAGTGCCAATAGATAAATAGAAATATGAATTGAATTAACAAGGCAAATTTTGAATTAAAATGGTTAAATGATGCCTTCACCTTTTCCGAGTAAAATACAAACTTCACCGCATTAAAATAACAGAAAGGAGACTATAAGCACGAACTACATGTATTATCTAAAGGATAAAAACGATACAGGTAAAGTAGGGTATTGTAAAAGGATTGGAACCTGAAAAAGGTAACCGTTGTGTTAAAGGTCATTAGGTCATGTGGGTCATGTATGCTTCCATCGTTTCTGACCCATTGTTGAATGTTTGCGGGGAAATTCGAAGGAAGATGGAAACTTTAAACTCTTATATCGAAACGAAGAACCTTTATAATCTCAATTAAATGGATCTGTAGGCCTGGCTCTTCGGCGTCGGTCTCCATCCCGAGGCTATGAAGTTGACCAGTGTGGCGAAGGCTACCATCTACAAGTACCATCTTGGTCTTGAGTTGGGTAATGCCAGCCATAACATCGACCTGCCCACTCTGTGGGAAAGAACTCTGGCGGTCCATCGGTGGCGGAGTCTTTCCCGCGGTGGGCGCCACCAATGAAGACCTTGTATATATATTTATATATATATATGTGTGTTTGAAATTGAGCAATCCATATATTATATTATTTAAAAATGCCTATTTTGGATCATAAAGTTTTATTTCCGATATTTCGTGTAGCAACTCGCCAAACTTCTTCGGGGAAAAAGATTGTTTTTGAGAAGCTCGCGTATCAATTCACGAGTATGTACAACTGCTATAAAATTTAAAATATCTGAAATCTACATATATGCATGTTTATAAATATCGGAAATAAAACTTTATGATCCAAAATAGGCATTTTTAAATATATATATATTAATCAATGTTTAATTAAACTAAATTAACTAAACATGGATGGTAAAAACTCTATTCAGCTACACTCAGCTACATACGCCAAATGTAATTATATGTTAACACAACTCTCCCCTAACAATAACTTAACCTAACTACACTATACAAATATACAATATGTATACAGAGATGTACATTTTATCATATATAACACAATAGTTAAATATATTAACAACAGAATAACAATTACAAAAATAATAATAAGATGTGGCAACTCTTTTTATTTAATTGATTAAGGGAAGCTTTCGGGTAAGCCCTTCTTCATCTAACTAAAACATCACGTTTCAACAGAATACCAATTACAAAAAATAATAATAAGATGCCGCAACTCTTCTTATTTAATTGATTAAAGGAAAGGCTTTCGAGTAAGCCTTTTTTCGTCTAAATAATACATCACGTTTTAGTTAGTTGAAGAAGGGCTTACCCGAAAGCTTCCTTTTAATCAAGTGAATAAAAAGAGTTGCGCAGTGATGATCATTATTTTTTTGTAATTTGTTGAAATCCGCAATTCTGTAATACAAGAGATCTTACAGATGGAAATTTTGCCGGGAGGACATTGATCTAAAGAGACAAGGGTCGCCTCTCCTGTCAAAATAGACGTCAAAACCAGACGGTCAATAGATGGCGTCTGGTTTTGACGTCTATTTTGACGGGAGAGGCGACCCTTGTCTCTTTAGACAAGAGATCTTGTAATAGAGAGAAAGAGAGAGAGAACAATCATCATAGAAATATCATAGAATTACCTACTTTCATAAATTTCCATCTTTAGAAGCCATTCCAGGTAGGGAATGTTTGGTATCAATATGGCATAGTTCAACCATGATATGGGCAATTTCATCGTGCTATTTTGCCATGAATATCATTATTTTAAAAGGACACGTCGCTGGCAACGGCTACGTGATTATCCTTTGTAAATTGTTACATTCTAAAGCTTATTTTATTGAGGGACATTTGGGTTATCAGGGTGTTCTAGGTATCGCAGTTCCAGTACTGACATTTAGAGCGTCGAAACACTGGTTTGAAATAAGAAGATGAAGACATTAGTTGTGGTACAAGTTATGGCGGGGCTTTAAATATCTTCATAATTTATATACATAAAACATGATATGAACGTCTAAGGTAATATTTCCTTTCAAAAATTCGATTGTCATCTATCGATAAAATTTGTACAAGGGTCATGCCAAAGGTTTTTGCAATTAATATTAAATAATTAAAATATTAACAAATAAATCATACCATTAAAATCTATATGTAGAGATCAACTATGAGGCCTACATGAAGAGCTCAACTTAGAGGAGTCTTTGTTCACCATGACAATGCAAGACCGCACACATCAGCCCAAATATTAGACTTTTTAGCCAACTCTGGTGTATAATTAGTCACTCAATCACCATATTCACCAGACCTAGCACCTTGTGACTTTTGTTTATTTCCAAAATTTATTGTTGAAAGGGATAAAATTTGATACTAATGATGAAGCACTGCAAGTCTTTATCAATGCCGTAAATTCCATCCCCGAAGATGACTGGTGTAAGTGCTTCGATAATTGGTTTTCACGGATGAAATCTTGCATTGATGCTAAGGGTGAATATTTCGAGAAACTCTGATAATTTGAAAGATTTTTTTTTTGCTTATCCCTAGTACATGTGGTAAAGGCCATGATAATCATGGTGGGTAGAAGTAGGCGACTGCTTTTACTGTAAGTGCACCACATGTCTACACATGTGAAAAGCAGTTCGACTTTGCACTTACAAATGTGCCAGAGCCCCGTTCGGTTACTTGCACTCGCTGGTGGGGTTAGACTTTTGCAAGAATCGGGGGCCATTGGAGCATTTTTTTAAATCAGAAAAAAAGTGCCCACTGCGGGAATCGAACCCGGGGCGTAGCGGTCGAAAACCAACGGTTTAGACCAGCTCTGGCAAACCTAAATGACGCCACGGGCCGCACGGAATCGTAAATAAGGTCTAAAAACTTTAACTATATCAAAATTTTAACTTTAAAATGTATTAACATATTTTATTTATAAAAAATATTATAATTATTTCAATATATTTTCTGTTTTTGAATATACAGATGAGAAATGAAAGTTACAAAAGAAATATAAAGTTAAATGGCGAGCCGCAATTTTTTTTTTACGGCGGGCCGCGGGTTGGCCAGGCCTGGTTTAGACCATCCTTCCACCGACCCCCTGAAATTTGAAAGTTGCAGCTTTAATAAAAATAAGTGATTGCAAAACCCTTCGGAGTGACCCTTGTGATAATTATTTTTGGCAATGTGTTTATAATTTATAATATCAATTATTATCTCTATAGAGACCTTACTGTGCAATGATAAAAAATCTTAAATGAAAGGGCTTGGCTCATTAGTATTGAACCCATTCATTTAATTATTTTTACCACACACACACATTGTACAGTAAGGTGTCTGTTGATATAATAATATATAATTAGAAACACATTGCCAAAAATAAGTATTTCCTTGGCACATTTTATCGCCTCTTAAATATTAGTACATTTTATGTGAGTAAAAGGTACCTAGAATTTATTTGAAAAAGGAAGAATGAATAAATTTAAGGTGTATCATTTTTTGTTTATATTTTGCTACTCTGTAAACTTCCCTCATTGTTTATCATTCATAGTTTGTTCTTGTCTTAAATAAATTGTTGTGTCATCCACTAGTTTGTCTTTCCTAATTTTCTACTTGGCAATATATTGTTTTTAAATGTTTTTCTGACATGATATTATGCCTGATTTTTCTATCTATATTGTAACAGATTATTTATTTTTCTATGAAAATATTTTTTAATTTCGATATTTGTATTTTGATAAACTGTTAATTTTTCTCATTGCCTCTTTGCTATTTTATTAGTTTTAATTTGGGTCTAGTATTAAATAAATTGTCATGCGCCATTCTAAAGTTTGTCTTTCCTAATTTCTACGTCCAATATTTGAAAAAGAAAGAATAAATAAAATTAAGGTGAAGAATTTCTTTTAATTTTGATTTCGCAAGTTTTGGAGCAAATTTTCTGCTCTTCAACATGCAAATACTTCTATGTACAATATAAATATGAACTTTAAACAGAAAGCCCACGAGAGCACATTCCAATAACGCATTTTTCAATTACTGTACAAAGTTCATCTTTATATTTTACCAGGTCTATTAATATGAAACGCGAAAATTTTCAGTGAATTCAAAAGTTCACCAATTCCATACAACAAAAGATTTTTATTCAAAGTAATTGCCATGATTAGCTATACACTCGGACCACCTTTCAGGCAATTTTCGAATTCCTTGTCTGAAATATTCTATTCCTTTTGAGTCGAACCAGTCAACAAGCCATTTTCGGAGTATGTCTGAGTTCGAAAATTCCTGGTTTTTTAGGGCGTGTCCTAAAGATGTGAAAAGGTGGTAGTCCGACGGTGCTAAGTCTGGTGAGTACGGCAGGTGGGGTAAGAGTTCCCAGCCCAAGTCTTTTATGGTGTTTTTGACCACTGTAGCGTTGTGGGCTGGAGCGTTGTCATGCTGCAGTATCAGCTTGTTGTGCTTTTCACGCAATTCCGGTCTTTTTTCATTCAATGCCTCTCTCAAACTGTGCATTTATTGTTCGTAGCGACTAGTATTGACCGTTTCGTCAGGTTTCAGGAGCTTGAAATATACTACGCCGGTCTGGTCCCACCATACGCAAAGCATTGTCTTTTTTCCTAATCGATTGGGCCTAGGCTTCCGTTTTGCAAAATGGCCGAGCAGGCCCCACGACTTTTGGCGCATAGGATTGCTGAAGTGGATCGATTTCTCATCAGAAGTTACGATTCGGTGCAAAAATGACTTTTTTTAATGCCTAGCGAGCAGCCCTTCGCAGGTTACCAGACGCCGTTATTGCTGCCTTTCGCTCAACTCGTGGGGGACCTATCTGGAAAGCTTTTGGGTCATTCTGAGGCTGTTTAAACGTAGGGAAACAACCTTGAGACACTTGAAGCTGTTTCGCGCGTTTCTCCTGCGTTTGGGTACTGTCGTCATCCAACAAAGCTTGCAGTTCAGCGTCCTCGAACTTTTGTTGCGGTTTTCCACGTGGTTCATTATCAAGTTCGAAATCGCCACTTTGGAATTTTTAAACCACCTGTAACACTGTGATTTGCTCAGAGCGTGGTCGCCGAGAACTTACTCGAGCATTCGGTGGGCTTCAGTGGCACTTTTCTTCCAGTTGAAGGCGAATAACAAAACTTCCCGCAAATGGGCACTTTTTGGCTCGGAAATCACCATTTTCCACGGGCACCAGAAATTTTCCACGATTTGAATTTTTCTAAAACTCCACACATGCTGATGCCACGTGAGTCAAAAAACAAAATGCCTTCAACAGCGCCACCGTCGGCTCAAATAAAGTTGCACAGCGCCCTCTGGCAGCCATTTTCGCGTTTCATACTAATAGACCTGGTACATAGAAGTATTTATTTTCCGTTTATCATTACTCTTCACAATTCATCCTTTCATACTTCATCCCTAAGGTTAGAAATAATCGTTATTTCTCCTTAAAAATAAATTTCGATTTTTCGTTTAAAAGAAAGACATGCGGGATAATTTTCAAATGTCGTTTTACAATCATAAGCCACATTTTATTGTATTATAGAAGTATTTTCCCGTTGAAGAGCAGAAATTTTGCTCGAAAACTTGCGAAATCAAAATTAAAAGAAATTCTTCTTCTTAATTTTATTTATTCTTTCTTTTTCAAATATTGGTACGTAGAAATTAGAAAAGAAAACTTCAGAATGGCGCATGGCAATTTATTTAATACTAGACCCAAATTAAAACTAATAAAATAGCATAGAGGCAATGATAAAACTTTGCAGCGTATCAAAATACAAATATCGAAATTAAAAAATCTTTTCATAGAATAATAAATAATCTGTTACAATATAGATCAAAATATCAGGCATAATATCATGTCAAAAAAAAAAAGTTTGAAAATAATATATTGCAACGTGGAAAATTAGAAAAGACAAACTAGGGGATGACACAGCAATTTATTTAAGGCAAAAACAAACTATGAATGGTAAACAAAAGATAAGCAATGAGGGAAGTTTACAGAGTAGCAAAATATAAACATAAAAATGATATTCTGTTAATAAAATAAATACTTTTCTACAATATAAAACACCTTAGAATGGTCGTCGCTGATTTTAATCATCCTATAACAACCCAATTTAATATTCTTCGACATCAATTAGAGAATTAGACGGAAGAAAAAATAGAATCAGAATACATTTAGTCTTTTTTTACAAAGCTATGTTTCTTTCTCTAGTGAAGTAAATGGAAAGGAACCTCTTGTATTCCATTAGAGAAGAATCGTTAATCTCTGAAGAAAGAAGAACAAGAAACCTGATAAATAAGACAATTTGCCTTCCCCGCCAAGACAGATAATGAGGTGACAGCAACAGAGCAATGTCACGATCAGATTCCTAATGTCCTCTTTCCCTATTATCTATCGTAAAGTTGATAAATCTATGGAAAACATTATCTGTTCTCGTTTAGTATCCCAGTTAGGAGTTTACTTCTGTAAAATTAGTTTAAAATAATATGGAGATAGAGAGATTAAAACTACTTCATTACAATGTCGATATAAGGTTATATGAATAAATATAACGTGGATGGCATTTATTGATTAATCAAGAAATGATATTTGGTTAATATTCTGTAATAATTAACAATAAACGATTATGAAAATTCGAAACTATTATAGACACGTATGATTCTTTTGAAAATTAAACAATTTCTACTGCCCTTACTGCAATGGAAAAATTAATGAGAGGGCCTGGATCATCAGTGGTGAACCCTCCCAGCGGTTTCGCCAGTTTAATCTACCATATCAGGATTCACCACTGATGAGCCAGGTCCTCTCTTTAATTTTTTTTCCATTGCAGTAAGGGCAGTAGAAATTATTTAATTTTCAAAAGAATCATACGCGTCTATAATAGTTTCGAATTTTCAAAACAGATGGCGCGCTGATGCATCATAAATAAACGATTAATTGATATTTGTTCAGACAGATGGCGCATGGTCATCATAAACTTTCAATTGCATCATCAGGAAAATGTTTTTTTACTTAATATATATATACCTGATTTCTCTCAGTACACACACAATTCCACTTTTTGTACAATTATTTAATAAATTATGTTTAATTATGTTACCACATCTATATCTTACTCCAAATTATTGCTCTTTGAGACATAGAATTAGTTGGAATTAGTGAAATGTAAACATCACAAATTAGTGCATGAGGGGAGATAAGCATAGAAAACAGAATATTAGAAAATCTAGGAGAAAGCCAGCCTTCATAAGAAGTGTAGTTAATCGAATTAAAAATTACGAATATCTGTTAAGGAATAATATTTCTGAACATTTATATATTAATGCAATCAAAGAATTTTATACGTATATCGCAGTACGGAAGACAAACATTAAGATAGCAAAACAATTTTCATTATTCGATATAATTTCACCATGAAATTATTTAAAAGAATATCTCAAAATCGTTCACAAAAAAAAAAACATTTATTATACAACAGCTTCTACAGATTTGTTTTGAGAAAATGTTGCGAAACATCGTTTAACTAACATTTTGATTAATTGCTTTTTTATCCCGCTCACCCCTTCGATTTCTTTCACTCAAGTTGCCTTAAATTATAGAGGCAGGACCATGGCCGCGATGGGTGCTGTGGGGGATATTATTCTGAAGTCCAAGCTCAAATCCTTCCATGCAAGCATGAGATTGTTGGAATATATGATCCTGACAGTCCTACTCTATGCGGCCCCAATCTGGGCACATGATCAAGCCTTAATCTTAGATAGAATCCAGGATACCTTTTTCAGACGTTTTCTGTGCCTTCCAAGCTATACTCCGGGCTTTATTTTGAGGGCCGAAACAGGAAGAAATTCTCTTGATAT